TCTGGAAAAGGTGTTTTCGAGAAGACCGGTCTTTGAAGGCCTAGCAGCAGCATTCATGGTGATATTCGCAATCAGCATCGTCGACTACCTATAGTCCACTCGGTTTCGTTGAAAAAGCGATTTATCAGGTGGGGTACTTCCCTCGTGAGTCATGTGACATCTCGAGAAGCCTTATGCTTAGTTTACAATGCCTTTGTTTTTTCCATAGTTAATTATATCAATGTCATCTATTCTGGTATCACACAAACTAATTCGAGACATATATCTACTATCCAGTATAGTTCAGCCTTGGCAATTACTGGTAGAATGAGACTGTCTTCAACCACAAAAGCATTAGCTGATCTTGGTTGGATTCCGATAGAAGAAAACTTCTTTATACAGCGACTTGCTTATTTCACAAAATTAAGTTTGGGAAAGCATCCCCTTCCCTTCAGTTTCTCATTCCAACTGATACTACATCACATACCTATTCACTTAGCAGTAGGAGCACAGCTGCTCAACAAATTCCAATTCAGCGCCGTGGATTGATGATGTATGAAAACTCTTTCATGATAGCAACTTATAAGTTGTGAAATCAACTTTCTCCTGCACTTCGCTTGATAACGAATTACACGACATTTAGACTCAAATTGACGGAACTTAATATAATGAATTATATGGTAAAGTCAGACATTGTATACCTAGATGTGAGGACAGATCTAATGTACTTCATTTCGCTCGTTTAAGAATTGGATTCTCTCAATTGAATGCTGACCTATTCAGGTACACCGTATTCCTGATTCATCACGCACATGTGGAGAGGATGAATCACAAAATCATTTTTTTCTGATCTGTAGGAAATACCACAAAGCTCGATAGAAATTCATGAGTACCATTAATTCCATTTTGGGCACACAAATTATTCTCTCTCTTCACTTTCTACTCTTTGGTTTTAGCGACTTGACCATTGAATTCGAAAAAAGTAAAAGTATTCATAAGGCTATCGTTGCTTTCATTAGAGTTTAACCGCTTTGGGGCATAATTGATGTTACTTTTCTTACGTGAAAATTCTCTATACCTCACTCACGCAGTCGCCACAGAAAATCATCCTCATCTCCTTCTCATCTCTGAAGTCCTATTACTTCTATACTGTTTTCATCTGGTAAAACATTAGCATTTTGTTTTTGTTCTTTTGTTTGTTTGTTTTTATTTGTCTAGCTTTTTACTTTTTATTTTTTTCTTGTCTCTTTCTCCCTCCCAGTGTCATGCAATGGGGACAGCCCGATTTGATTCCTATTTTCTCTATAATAAAGTTTAAACCAGCTGTTTATACACCCACAACATTCATATATATCAACGAGGTACGGACAATTATATTGAAGCTAATGAAGTGTAAACTAATATGGGACGAACTGAGAAAAGAGCTTTGTGGGACGAATTGAGAGGTCAGTTTGGGATGAACTGAGAATAAACCATAGTAATAACTTACAAAAAAGAAAAGGCGTTCGTCTTTCTCGACTCGTTTAAAAGTGTTCTTGCTCGATAAAACAAAGGATGATACTCAATATGCTCAACGCATTGCGTGTTCGAATATGTAGACAAAGCGCTTTTACATGTGAGATAGAACGGTTTGTTCTGTTGCTTCGAATGCTTACTTTCGTATTTTTGTCTTGCAAAAAATGTGCTGTCGTCGTTGAATAAAAACACAAAAGTAACTATCTGTCGTCTCTCTCAGAAAGAAACAGAACACAACACCAATTTGTCCTTTTCTAAGACGAGACAATTATTGCAAAAATTCATTTTCGTTCTACGAAGCACGCAGAGAGAAAAAGACGTGTTAGAATTATTCAATACTTGAATGCTTTTTCTGCTTTTGCTGTTCGATGCAGCAGGAAGAAATAAAGTTAAACATACGGTGTCGCATGCAGCACTTTTGTGGAATCTACTGTCACGTTCTGTAATCTCAAGCGAGAGAAAACTGTTATACTTCACTTCTGCAAACAAATACAGATGCGTATAGAAGAAATGAATCGACTGCGAATGTTCTTGAAGTAGAAAACTCATACGAAGATAGACGAGAGAGAACATACGCCAAGGTATATGTTGCAGTCCAGCTTAGAATTTAGTCCACTTCCGAATTAGTCTAGTCCAATTTGGAAAAATTCCAATCTGGACTGAGCCAACTTAGAATTTCAAGATGGATTAAAGATTATGCAGTCTAACTTGAAATTCTAAGCTGGTTCAGCCCAGATCGGAATTCTAAGTTGGACTTATTCAATCCGTATCAGAATCCAGTCCAGTTTGGAATCTAATCGAGTAACGTTGAAAAGTACAATATTTGAGTTCACTCACTTGAGAGTTAAATTTTCAAAGGCAGTTCGCGAAATAGTTTGTTCAAATACTCAGTTTATCATCTTATTTACAAAACTATGTTTATTATACCTAAAGTGATGATAAAGAGAAATATTTTAGTGTCATAAAAATATTTCGTCTTATTTCATTGTGCTTCATATGAATATTGCTTTTCTCTTTTTTTCTACAACAAGTTTTACGTTTTGGCAGTATTGAGTTTTAGAATATTAATTTTTGCCGTCGTACGCATCGTATTAGGTATGTAAGCAAAGTGAATGTTTTGATTTATTTTTGCTTTGCATTTCGCGTTGTAAATTTATAGCACAATATTCCCCTATAGATGAACTGTCATGTGCACAAGGTAACTAAAAGTTATATTCAAGCTTTAGTTAAAATTTGTCGTAAAAAACCCTATGTGAATAGATAAGCAGATGATCTAGGCATGCACCGAGTAATTGACTAGGAATTTCATACTTTTTGAAAAGTCTGTTGTTTCGTATATTGCTTGGTTGAAAATTTTCTGACTCGACAGGAATGTAGTCCAAACATTTCTCTATAAAATGAGAGATCGGACAGCTCTGCATGAGTTGTTTTGAGATTTTGACCGCGATACCTCAAGAACATATAAAAGAGTAGTAAACGAGTATTTTTCAAAAAAGTATATAATCCCTAATCAATTACTCAGTGCATGCCTAACGGCTTGTCCAATCAAAAAATTATTGCAATAAAACTACAAAGTAATCTAAAATGGCAACTAGAGAATTAAGTAGATTAAACCTTTCTCTACAGAATGAAAAGTGTCTCGGCTCTGAACGCTTATTCGTTATGAAAATACAGCTGTTATAAAAACAGCCCAAAAAATGGATTTTGGGGCTATCTGCAAAAAGTGTCTAAAAGAGTGAAGACGTTCTGATTAGCTTTAGCTCGATGTACATAATTAGCTGATTGTTAAAAATAAAATATAAAAAAATTAGTCCGCCCGATCGTTAAAAAATATAAATTATTGTTATCGTTGACGTCATGTTTCTTCAGCTTCTTCCAATAGTTTTACTAATTTTAATTAAATAATTGTCTAAGACTAATGTATCACTGTTATAACGACTCATTAAATCAAGTAATCGAGATTATCGTATCGAGATTTTTGGAAAAGTTTTCTGAAAATCTTGAAAAGTTGGTTTTTCGAAAACATTTTACTTTCTGATTAAAAAGGAAATCGAAAATTACTTTAGTACCTATCGCCTAGCGCTGAATGATGTTTCGATCAGGAGTTATGCGAGTTTTGCTGGAAGACATAGAACATGCATCAGATACTGACGCAACTATATCTCGAAAGCGACTTTCACCTTAACATCATTTCATAGTTCCCAGATTTCTCAGTAACGAAACGTTGCAGAGAGCTCGAGAAGGTCTTCAATTGAAGCTGGCACATGTGGATAGAGGCTGACCGAGCCCGGTTTTTGATATTTGGTCTAGATTTGTGATTAGAAAAACACCTTCACCAAAGTTAATGAGACTTTTCGAAGTTTGGACTTTTGATGCTGAGCATTAATTTGAAAAGAAAAACACCAAAAATTCGACTCTGTTAGCCACTAGCCACATGTGTTTTCGTCAATTTAAGACCAGTCCGAGCTCTCAATAACGTTTCGTTACTGATAAATCTGGGAGCTACGAACAGCCCCATTTTGGTCACTGTTATGGCAACATTTCACAAACCATGCTAGATGGAGTCAAACAAAAAATTTTGTTACTTTACTTTCACAAGAGCATCTCCTAAAAGTCTGGTCATGATCGGACTTACAGTTTCAGAGATAGGTTTCTGACGGGGGGAGGGGGGGGACTTAAATCTGATGCTGGTTAAGATCTAACTATCTATCTCCACAAACACGACATGTATGCTGAGCTTGTCGACACTGACGTTTGAAATGCCCTCTGCTCATACACTTCGAGCAAATCAACACTTTTGCCTGACCAATATATTCATCAACATCATAAGATATATAATTCGCAATAATTTTACCACGCTTCAAAATTTTATCTCTAGTTTCTCCATTGTTGAATTCAACCTTGACTAATTTCGTCTCAAATTGATCTTTGTTCCTCAGTCGAACAGTCTTCTCAACACCTGAATACGCGGCTTTTAAATCATCACAAAAACTTGCGAAATCAATACGATAGCCAACATTTTTAATAACGATTGACAGTTGAGGAGGAATGGATGGTTTCAGAGGAAGGACAAACTTCTCTTCTCCAATTAGATTTGGCCATTTATTCTCGTCATATAAACAACTAAATGATTCACTATTTTTAACATAAATCAAAATATCATATTCGTTTTGCTCACATTTTGCTTTAGATATCCGAAAATCAGCAATATCCGGAACAACATATTGACTTTTCATATGATTAATCGCTAACTCCTCTGCAGCCTGGGGGTTGTCTGTACAACAGCTGTATTTCCATAACGAATCAATATTCAGAGCCGAAACACTTTTTATGAAATGTTTAATCTACTTAACTATCTAGTTGCCATTTTAGACTAGTTCTAGTTCTATCACAATAACTTTTTGAAAAAGAGCAAAAAATGGAAGCCGTTAGGCATACACTGAATAATTGGCTACGGATTTTACTATCTGCACTATCAGAATACATTTAACCGGATAATTAGATAGTTTCATTTCGTAGATTTACATTTACTAGCTAAACGTTGTGGAGTATACGTTGCCCCTTCATCAATAGTAAATTGAAAATTAAAAATTGAAATTGAAATCAGTAGCAATATATACAATTTACTACTGGTGAACGATATTTCAAAACGTTTAGCTATTAAAATGTAAATATACGAAGTGAAGTAATCCAAATATCTTGTTAAATTCATCTGATTTCGTATCAGTGAAAACAATGAGTATCAGAAGACATAAAAAGGTTTATTAAAAAAAGATTCAATAGAAAACATGTAGAAGAAATATTTCAGAATTAGATGAAAATTTAATGCATTAGTTCTAGTGCTTGAGAAATTTCTCATAAATATTCGAAATTGTTGATCGACTGTTTTGATTATTTTTAATCTACACCTTTGATGTTATCTTCAACAATGACGGATTTCAGAATTGCAGTCCTTTGATTTTGTATACAAAACTAGATGAAGCAAACTTTAGTATTTCTATTTCTATTATCAATAAAATAAAACCAACATTCTTTTCGGAAATTCGTGTATCTCCAGGGATCAGAAAAAATTTATGCTTTGTTACTTTACTAAAAGTAATTCATGTATTCTCAAACTCGTAAGAAGCTGCAAAGTCTACAAGTTTTTCTTTACTTAATTTATTTGGGCAGATAGCTTCACAAGAAGCCCACACAATTACAATCAATCTACAGTTCACAAACAAATAGTTCTGATTGGGCGAATCTCGGCCCTCGCTGATGTATGTTGAGCCAAGCTGGTTGGCCGCAGATGTAATGTGAAGCTGTTGACGCTATGGGTGCACGCAGCTGCCCTCGTCGAACTTTAGTCCAATGCTTTAATTTTGATTTGAAAGCCTCGAAAAAACGTGTAATAGCCATCACTTTTGTTTCAATCATAGTTGTGGTTGCACTTGAAACACCTATGATATTACACTGGCTCGGATTTCGTTCGTTAGATACAGTAATTATTCGCACCTATTTCATGATGTAGACTTAACATCGAACTATACTTCTCAAAACGATTATTACTGGCACGAATGGCGAAAATAATTAATAAAACATTGTGATTTTCCTGTTTCACTTATTAGTTATCTCATTTTTTGCAGTACCCTAGTGAAATTTCTTGTAACCAAGATCTTGACTTCTTGAATTTTTTCAGTAAGATCTTGATTCAAGATCTTGGTAAGAAAATATAAGAATTCAAGAAATTTCAAGACGTCAAGATCTTGAACATCTTATAATTTCTTGACTTCTCGTACCAAGATCTTGGAAATTCTTGAATCATCGTTTTGTTTTACATTCTAGTGTAAATATAAGTGCGAATATTTCACACTTAGAATAAGTTCGATTTTTTTGCTTCGTGACCGTAGTTGTTTAAGGAAGAATCTATGATTCTATATCGTCGTATATCCAGTGGCTACGACTGTCATAAATAAAAACAAAATGTAAAGAAAATTTGTCATTCTT